TGGCGAGCAATCCGGTTGTTTCGAAGCAATCGAAGCACATTTCTGTGCGTTATCATTTTGTACGGGAGCAGGTAGCACTCGGTACGCTTGTGATGGTAGATTGCAGGTCGGAAGATATGGTAGCTGATTGCTTAACGAAGCCTTTACCAACTGAGAAGTTTGTGAAGCATTGTATGGCGATGAACGTGTGCAAGTCCTGAGCGCGTGGGAGTGTTGGAAAGTACTCTTAGGTACACTCAGGCTTGACACTTCGGTAGTTTGATTGGTTGCCTTTATCTCAATACGACATCGGATCAGGATTGGCTACGGTATGCTTATATACTGCTTGCGTATCCATTCTCTCTCTCTCCTTGTGTAACGATATGAGCGAGTGATGTGTTCACTGAAGGACTCTTATCCCTAACAATGAGCGGTGCTCTTTATGTTATTATGTTAAGACTTTAATTTAATAAAAGATTGAAAACCTGTCATGAGGTCCCCGTAGGTTAGCGGGCATTCACAGAAGACAAAAGCAGAACAGCTCAACTTCGGGCACACACAAAGCCTGCAGACACAAACACAACGCACTTCACAAGGCAATTAAGTCTGTTAACTTTAGGTTTTCAACAAAATTTAGGTTTTCAACAAACTTTAGGTTTTCAACAATCCTACGAACGCACTTGCACTTGCACAGCAGACGGCAACAATCCGATCTCTCGGTGTTTGCCCCATGCAGGGGGCGAGGCGGCAGAGGAGCAGGGATTGGGGTAAAAATCTGTGACTCGCTGATTGAGTAGCTGGCCGGCTGCAGGCTTGTCTAGAGTACTTAAGAGGCTTGGTGGCTGGCTAGATGCCTAATCGCATTCGTCCGCAATAATCCTGGCGTGTGAGTGATAAGGACGAGTAATACACTGCTCGACCGGTACATCCACAACAGGAAGAAAGGTTGATTGATAAGCCTTAGAACCCCCCGTACTAAATATTGTCTAAAATCGTACCATTGTGAAGCCACGTGTCGTTCGCATCCACATGTACGCACCGTCGTACGAACATATAAATGCAGGACGAGACGAACATACATACAGCACTTTGACGGGGCCAAGCAAAGTCTAGCCGCTGCCGCTGGCCCAGCAGAGGCTGCGACGACACGAGCCGCCAGCTATCATTAACAAATCTGGAGCCCACTATAACAACCACACACACTAACAACTCACCGGCTGAAAACCGCCAGCTATATTCCGCCAGTAAGAGATATCGATCCTGATAACGACAAAAGTTTTTTTAAGATAACTTATTGGTAACAATCAACAGCTTAAAAACTAACTCAAGATATCTCCAGGAACCGCTTGCATGATTCCTTCGGTTCACCACACAGCCATGAACCACCATCCATATTGAACCGTCAGTCGCGCGCATTCCGTGGCTATAAGCTCCTCTCTCGGGGTGCTTTCTTTCCTCGCAGAAATGTGTGCCCGATTAATCAATCCGGGCTTGGCAGGAGAGACTTATGCATGCATGCATGCATGGCGTCGATTCCGATTCCGATTTTGAAATTGACTCAAATGCCATTTAGTAACAGACAACCGCCGTAGGGGGAATGGACTCTAACCGCCAGTTAGTTAGCACAGCGTCAACTTTTGCTAGCGTCGGCTAGCTGCTGGCTTAAATAGACCTGCAGGGCAGGGGGCTCAGTAATTGAAACGACGCTTCGCCGACAGCCATGATGCAACCTTACCACAGATTCCACAGTCCTAATAACAGCACAACCAGTTTTCTTGTTCTTATGAAAGAAGGGGAGCCGCCTTGGCGAACGGAAAACTTTTCGGCAAGATCAGGATACCTGCCTCGAGCAAGAGAATTTTTTCAAGTCCTTAAACGCATGCAAGCAAACGCTCATGCCAAGGCAGCATCTCAGACTAAAAATAAAACTAAAACCGAAGGCAGTTGCGCACGTGTCGCAAATTACTTTACTTCCAACAATTTTACCAACCAGAGACATGCATGACTCATCAGTCCTTTTCCGTGTTTGCCGTACATGGCGTAGAGTATTGGAAACGACGTACTGCCTTAAGTCTGAATCCGTACTGTGGCCTCCAGCTGTAATTGCGCCTGTCGTATTGCTACTGATGCTGCTCCTGTTCCTTGTGTGTATACGTTTGTACGTATGTAAGTGTGTGTATGCCTGTATGTACGTGAATGCATGGTCAGCTTAAACCAAGGAAGCGAACCGGCGGAGTAACCGCCGGCGGCCTGCTCCATTCCCATTTCCGTTGTTCCCGTTCCCGTTGCCGTTGCCGTTGCCGTTGCCGTTGTTTTTCTGCGACCACCAAAATACGCACAATGAGGGGAAGCACATTGACGTCCGGACTTAACCATGAATGGAGGCCCAGAAAGGAAATCGTCAGTGACATTATGACTACCAGACATCCCGTACATAGCCTTCACCAGCGGACATGCTGTACATTCACGTACGGCACGTACGGATTACCAAGCTTACTCAGTATTGTGCCGCAGGAAAGGAAGGGGGGAGACGGGGAATGCACTAAACCAATTCACTAAACCAGCACTCACCGGTGGTGGCGGTGATGGTAGAGGTGGGCTAGGTGGTGGCGGGCTGGGGGGCTTC